ATTTGATACCATGTTTAGCTCTTTATCACTATTAAAAACGGAATGAGCGTCCGTTCAAGATAACCGTCCGTACGCGCGATTTTTGTAATACATTGCATATATGGGCAAAAACATGCCTATGAAAAGTCCATTGGGATGAATAGGGATTGCCAATTTTTTTTCATATTTAGATAGAGTATGAGTCGGAGGTATGATTTCATATCTCATTTGGCCATTAAGTACATCTTTACGTCATCATAATGGCCTTGGAAGTCAAAAATACAAAATTGCATATTATGACGTCATTGTATTTATGGAAAATGTAGTGTATTTCTCTCAATATTCATCGATTCTCTTTGAAATGTCGATATGTTGTAGATAAGGCAATTCTCTACAAGATCACTTTTCACTAAGTTTCATTTTAATGAGGTCATCATAGTACAAAATTCAGTTAAAGGCCACATGTCAGAATTTTCGTCATTTGCGTGTTATGTCTATGGAAGGTGAATTTCGTTCACATCATGAATCTACATGGCATTCATCTATGAGCACTATCTATCTTATGTGTGCTCTGTTTTCTCCCAAGTTGGGGTATGTTATAGCTGAGACCATGGGCTATAAAAACGGTGCTTTTAGTTTTTTGATCAGATGATGGTATCATGTCACAATTTTCAATTGAAAGTCGAATTTGCAAATTCCGTAGAACTTTGCAGTAATTATGATGTCACGTATGTCCTATTTGTGAAATTTTAACGTTAGCAGTGTCCTAGTATTGAGTTTAATTGATGATGGTTTGATTGAGAATAAAAATAAAAGAACAACAATGCATTGCGGCATAAACGGATGAATTAGGAAATGTTTTACAAATTTAAAATACAATATATTCAAACATTCATATTAAATAACATCGAAATTAAAGAATTGAACCTGAATGAGTAAATTGTTAAAAACAATATTCAACTTCGAAATTTGTATTTCATTTTTGATCTTCCGAAATCATTTGATATAAAAAGGAGATACACAAAGTGAAGAAGAACATGACGATGTAAAGCAAAGAAAGAAAAGAAAAGTTGATGGTAAGATGGTAAGAGGATAGACAGAGGGTATAGTAACACTATCCTAAGGTATCGATATCAATATTCAAGCATTACACATTATACAAATTACAAATGATAGAGGCGAAGTTATTATGCGAATACTTATATGACAAATTGTACACATTTATATTTTCCTCTAGGTAATAGCTACTACAAGAAAAAAGTTATGTTTTATCCAAACTGTAAAAAAAGGGGAATTATTAGAAGAAGTAAAAGTAGAAGAAGAAAGAGGGAAAAGAGAATTGAGAAAAAAGGAGATGGGTGAGATGCCTTGCTGCCTTCCTCTTTATCTCTTGTTTTGTCTCGATCTGCCTCTCTATTTCTGTATAGTCTCCCCCTTTCTCTCTGCATCATCCCAGTGTCTCATTTATTAGTGTATTACATGTATACAAATCAAATCAAAGGAAATTTGAGGCAATTTCAATCGTTTAGCCATTCACTGCCATGCATACTAACAATCATTTCTAGAATTAACATCTTATAGATGTTGGTTTATGGATGGGTAAAATATAAATATCTTACTCATATTTTATATTGAATCAGGACTAAATAAATCACTGTGTTCATGTTTAATTGATAAAAAAAGGGCTTAAAAACTTTATTTGCATGTTATCTCAAGACTTGACAGATGGCACACGGAAGCATTCACATCCTTAGTGCGTTAAAACGTTATTCAAACGGTAGATCTTTCTTTCCAATACGGAACGGTCAATAAGCAGCATGAAACTTAATTAAGATATAGTCCTTATTAGTCATAATCAGCTCTATTGACGTCATTGTTGCGTATTTAGTGCGTCGAAATATCACTTCAATGATTGGTATAAGTATATCTCTGCAATGTTTAGTAATAGCAGGGCACTCTCCCTGGTAATAGTTAACAGTTATCATATATAACGATCCTCAATCGAAAACATGAAGGGGGTGCTGTGCCACTTTCAATCATGGTCATCATTTTAATATCGTCATCATCGTATTCATGAACATAATCGTTTTTTGATTATCGGCAACACTTTCATGACCAGTATTCAAAAGAGCTTATTTATGCTAGAAATATGGAAGGCATTGTTCTCAATTGCATCTCTCTCTCTCTCCTCTCTCTTGCTGTGTTTCCCTTCTCCCCTCATGTTCTGCCCCTCTCCTTTACTTGGTCTGTCTCTGCATCTCTCTCTCACTCTCTATCTCTCTTTCCCTCTCTACACTTTTATCCTCTCCCTCTCTCTCTCTCTTTCTCTTGCCTTGCCTTCTTCTTATTATATTGCTCTGTCTCCCTCTGTTCTACACAGTTGAAACTTGACTAATGGATATACCACAATGGAAGTAGTATTTAATAAAGAAAGATGAAATCGTGAAAATGCGTTCTTCATTATGTTACACACGTATCACCTAATTCGTCAAAGTGACGAATTAAAGTCTAGTTTATTATTATTCTTCCTCGAATTTGTTCGCAGGATATCTCAAGACTGAATAAAGCCATTATCATGAAACTTGCCATGATGATAGATCTTAGTCTAACTTAGAACTGCGTGATTTTTTAGAGAGTCAAATGTATCGTGACGTCATCCAGGCGCCATTTTGTGAAAATCAACTTATGATCATATCTTCATAACGGAAAGGAATTTCTCATTTATAATTATCAGGATTAAGATCAATATCCGTCCGGTCAATTTCAGGTCAATAAATGCGCGCAAAGATGCGCGTACGCGTTTGTGCGCGCGTTAACGCGCACGTAAAATTTTAAATTGCTCAAAATCGTCTTAACAATTTTTTGCATACGTTTTAGGCCATTATAAGCATTTCATAAAAAATCGCGCAAAACACGCATTTTTGCGCGTTTTCGTTCGTCACGGCCGAACGAAAAATAATTACCCCTAAATTTTTTGTGACAGGATATTCATCATATTTTTCTGAACAAATTGATACCATGTTCATCTCTTTATCACTATTAATAACGGAATGAGCGTCCGTTGAAGATAAATATCCGTGCGTGCTAGCTCATGTATTACATAGCATATATGGGCAAAAACATGCCTATAAAAAGTACATCGGGATGAATAAGGACTGCCATTTTTGTTCTTCATATTAAGATAGAGTATGAGTCGGAGATATGATTTCATGTCTCATTTAGCCATTAAGTATATTTCTACATAATCATATTGACCTTGGAACTCAAAATACGAATTTGCATATTAAGACGTCAACATATTTACGGAAAATGATTGTATCTCTGCAAAATTAATATTGATCAATTTTCTTCTAAATTTTGATATATTGTAGCTGAGACAATTCTTCACAAGATTATTACCAATATTTATTCATTTTGATGACGTCATTAGATTTTTGCTTAATATGCGTCTTATGCCTATGGGAGGTGATTGATACTACATTCTAGTCTAGACTTGTTCATTATGTTGCGTATGTAGTGCGTCGAAATATCAGTTCAATGATTGGTAGGCTCTGCAATCAGGCGAAAATTTGAGCTTGTTAAGTAAATTAATAGTTTAATCATATAACAATTGTCTATCGAATACCTGAAGGGGGCGCTATACCACTTTTAATCATTGTCATCATAATTTAAAACCAACAAATCATCATCATCAATATCGTCATTATCGTATTTATGAATATTATCATTAGATCATCATCGACACACTTTCATGATACAAAAATAGCTACGTATCACCTAATTCGTCAAAGTGACGAATTAAAGTCTAGTTATTATTATTATTATTATTATTATTATTATTATTATCATTATTATTATTATTATTATTATCATTATTATTATTATTATTATTATCATCATTATTGCTATCATCATTATCATCATCGGAATCATCATCATAATCACCACCACCACCATGGCACCATCCTCAAGCACGATTGGAAATTTTTTTCTCGAAAAATCATCTTAAGGGCGATTTCATTCCCTTATAGAGTGGTGAAGTGTGACGTCATCAAAAAATCTATTTTTTATAATTTCTCAATTTTTTCTTCATTTTCTGAAAGAGCATCAAAAATAGTGTCCAACTGTCGAAAATCAATTGAATATGTTAAGTATTGGCTGAGATATGACCATCTGAATAAATAGATGACCTATACTAGGAACTCAGTGTTATTTGCCCTGGTTCATAACTATTAGGAGCCAGAGCAAATAACACTGAGGTCCTATAGGACATCTATTTATTCAGATGGTCATATCTCAGCTAATACTTAACATATTCAATTGATTTTCGACATTTGGACTTAATTGTTGATGCTCTTTCGGAAAATGAAGAAAAAATTGAGAAATTCTAAAAATAGATTTGTATGATGTCACAGCTTCGGTACTCTATGGTATGTCCCATAATACGTCATTGTCAAAATTGCACATTTCAGTAGGTGACACTCAAAGTTTTTGAAATTGCTTCATTTTTTGGAAAGTTGTTGCTATGATCTTATTAATTCATCACTATTTTCTTTTCCACAATTAGTGACTTATTTTTGTTGTATTTATTAGTATCCTTGTGATGTATAATCTATGCTCAATAACAATCAATTGAACATATTACTGGGAAATTCGTGTCACAAAACATTCATAGGTTTTCTTAAAGTTCTCATTTAATACTTTATATCAATTGTAAAGTGAAACATTATTGTGCGTATGTATTGCCGATGATATTGATTATTCTGTATTTTCATTCTTTTGTTTTATGAATCTTTATTGCTTTGATATTATTTGTTGTGAACATTAGATAAATAAACGATTTATTATTTCATGTTTATAATCTACACACACATGAACGCCTTCTCATATGATATCAGTTACTAATTACTTTTTCTCTCACTATGTAGTGTGATCACATTTAAGGACTCTCTGATTGAGGTGGAGCTTTGATCAAACTTTATGAAAACAATCCTGTTCAGCATACGCCTGTCAAGATCAAGATGTGGTACAAAATCTCGGTAAGGCAATTCTGCATTTAAATTTTGCAAAATAGTAACAATAGTCATTGTTTTTATTAAGAGCGTTTACAGAATACTGATCAAAGGGCTGATACAATAAAAACGTTAACAAAAACTATTTTGAACGATTATATATGCTGTAAGCTTTATACAGTGTGTATAAAAAAAATGTACCCAACTTAAATAGCATATAATTAAGAAGTTATAAGCAATAGAAATGTAATACTAGTAGTATTAGTAGTATTATTATTATTATCAGTAGTAGTAGTAGTAGTAGTAGTAGTAGTAGTAATGGTAGTATTAGTAGTAGTAGTAGTAGTAGTAGTTGTAGAAGTAGTAGTAGTAGTAGTAGTAGTATGTTATAATTAGCAGTAGTAGTATTAGTAGTAATATTAGTGTAAGTAGTAGTAGTCATCATCATTACGATTCTTATCACCATCATCATCATGATATCTCTCAGTGATTATGTAAAACTAATCAGGGCCCTTTACAAACAGTACTATTATTGATCTTTACCAGCATTATCACCATCATAACCAGTTGATTTTACATCACCAGATCATGGTCAATATTGATCAATTGCTGGCTTAATTCTTTAACGGGGCCAGGGGTGTTTTTTTAAAAGACTAAGATCGGCTTAAGTTGGACTTGAATTATGGCAGGCCTTTCATATCCCTCTAGTTGCTCTCTACATAGATCTCTCAACGGACGTGCAAAACATGTTTGCAAGAAAAAATACAAAATTTACTTATTTGTGAGTTCTACTTCAGACTTGGACGTATACTATGTTAGGTAATTAATGCCGCCATATTGTATTGGAGCAGAATATAATAGTTGTGAATTTTCGAAGCTGCGATCAATCAAACACCAATTGGCAACACTGTGACGTATTTTGCGAGGTTCCCTCCCATTCGCTTTGTACTAAAAATACTCAGAAATTTATATTTTTCCAATCAAACAAGCACCCTAAATATCATTATTGAAAATGTGTTTCTAAACAATCCCTTTATGAAACAAATCTATTACATCATCCGTAACTAAGAAAATGAAAGTTTATAAAATTTCTGTACAGAGCAAATTGGAGAGGACCTCGCAAGATACTTCATATTGTTGTTGCCAGTTTGTGTTTCAATAACTACAACTTTTAAAAATTCATAACCTTCTTATTTTTTGTCGGATTTTGCTCAAGTTTTCACTGACCAAGCTTTTCTTCTCGTTTGTTTGCTTCTATTAAAACAAACTTTATATCAGGGTTGACTTTCCCTCTTAGCCGATCTTAGTCTTTGTGAAACTCCCTCCTCCCTACGATCTTATACTATCATTGATTATTCTTGTCACTTTTCCACCTACAGTCCAAGAACACCTTTGTGGTACTGCTCGTCGTGACGATCATCTCTATGACATACACTATCTTTGCAACCAACCAAGACTTATCGAGCTCAATTGCCCCTTTTTCATCTTATTCACGGTAAGCAAGAAATCTTTTCTGTAATGGAGTCATTCATGCCAGGAATTATGTTAGGACTAAAAAGTAATCACAGCTTCCTCTGTAAATAGGCAATACTGTTGTTGTTTTTCTGTCATCATGTTTATTGCTACATTGTTCTCAAACAAAGCCACATATCTAAAAACGATATACAGAAACAAGAATTATTTCGGAAGGTAAGAAATTGTCAGTTGTGTGAAAACCCATTAATTTTGATTATCACGACAAATAAAATTATAAGTATATTTACTTTTTTAGGGTGCCCAATGTCCATTGTATATGTGGGAACCATTAAAATCGCATGAATTTCGTTTTCTTTCAAAAAAACAATTGACGTTTTGAAAAAAAAATATTGATTAACTTTAGGAATTGAGTGAAATGTTATGATTATCGGACTTCGACGTGATTTATACACACAATAAGCCAATGTCGAAATGTAAACAAATTTAATGCACACGTCTTTTTGAAGTGCCTCGATACGAATTATTTCATTCACTTCAAATACGAACAATTGTGTCTCAATAGTTAAAATGTGAATTGCATACATTATTAAAGTTCTTAGGTATACTATAGAACATCCATTTTGGCTAGCCCTACCAGTAACAACCCATAATATGTGCACTTTGCAAGTTTGCATTATCACTATTTAAATACAGCTATTCGTAAAAGTTGCATGGAATCATTCATGTCGACGAACTAAATGAAGACGCAGGCACTAAATATGTTTACATAACGAAACTGGCATATTGAAGGCAATGAAAATTGACAGTTATAACACGTTTACATATAACTGGGCGTTTCCGTTGTTACACACGGGTGTCTGGTTGACGTCAGGTTTAGGCGACAGTATAAGCATACACCTCATTTTAATAACAAAACCAAACAAAATCTGAATTTAAAGGGATCTGGTTATACTTTGTCTCAGATTCTAAAACAAAATTCTGGATTTAGCTCATGCTACAATGATAATGATGAACCTTTATATAGGTCAGTCAGGTACCCCATGACTTTTACAAGCCGATCGCCTGTCTGATTATCAAGATATTTATGATTGAAAACCGTTTTCTAAGCGGTTTTCATAACACTACAGTCTATTGGGGAAAACCTGTATGGTAAAACCGGTCACTCAGAGATTTTTAATTTTTGGACGCACTTCTTGATCATTTTGAAGCGCAATTTTTTTAGGGCGTCAATATTACACCATATCACAGACACTGATAACATGTAGGGCCATGTATCTCAGATTTAATATTGTTAAACGATCCCTTTAAGTTTGGAGAGCCATTCCAATTTTTTGAGAGCAACCCTATACAGCAATCAATTCAAGTTTCTATCATTTGAATACGAATCTTGAGAGGAAATATCAGGAAGCTGTAATGAATGGAGATCCCGTCCGAGAGGCCCCTTAGAAGTCATCCGTGGCACCGCGCGTCTTTTGTTTCCCCTACCGTAACCCCCATCCGAAACCGTATAGCTCCCTAGTAGCACTTAATAATCCACCCTGTCCACCCACAGTCCAGGGAGCACGGAGGCTTATGCGTTGTCGGCCTGTAGGCCTACTTGGGGTGAAAAGTGGTGATGACTTGCCAACTTCTAACCCTCATCCAACAAATACGCAAACATAAAATACAATTTCATTTAGTTCTTTTAGGAGATAAACCTTTTAAATACCTTCTTAGCTGTGTACAAATTTCGGAAATTATTGACATTTTCCGAAAATTTCCGAAATTTGAACATAGCTAGGACTATTAAGTGCTACTAGGGAGCTGTACGGTCTCGGATGGGGTTACGGTAGGGAAAACAAAGGATGCGCGGTGCCACGGATGACTTCTAAGGGGCCTCTTGGACGGGATCTCCATACATTACAGCTTCCTGATATTTCATCTCAAAATCATTATGATTAAAACCTTACATTCGCTCTATCTCACGATTTTCGTGGTCGATTTCGCTGGTTGAAATGTCTATGTCTTCAGTAAACCAATCCAAGCTCGAAAGAAGCACTTGATAACCAAAAGAAAGCTGCACCGGTCTCATGTTGTGAATGCTGTATTCTAAATGTTGTAGCTAAATAAGCTACATGTATCTTCAATTTACATGACCAAATTTTTGCGGTGCCACACATGACTTCTAAACTCGATGCCTGCATATTTTTACGGCCGAGTGAATAGAGAACTTAGAGAAGTAGACGGCATTGTGAATCATTTCGTAATATTTGGAATGCCAGAGGGGATATGTGCATTGATTACATTTCTTTTTGTTAAGCCAAGTTAATCTTGAATGTCTTTCCCTCGGGATTTTTTTTCAAGACGGTATCTCCATTCATTACAGCTTCCTGACTCTACCATACACCTATATCATACAGCGTATTTGACAAGGACATAAATAACTAGATTTGTAATACTTGTTTGGAACAAGTATAGGTGGGCTGGTCTAACTAAAATTTGAGACAAAATAAAGGGGACAATTGAGATAGCTTATTGTCTCAGCTACAACATACTCGAAGTTCAGCGTAAACGAAACTAAAACGACGGAGATATTGCTCGCGAAAGACGGGAATGTAGAATCCAGTTTTGAGAAAAAATCATGTCCTATAGAGAATACACGCAAAATGTGAAAAATTGACATGCCTCCTTTAATCGCTAAAATACGCCATGATGCTTTTGTCAAAATGAAAAATCGTGACCTCTGTATTTGTAGAAAATTGTCTCAGCTAGAACATATCAAAATTTGGAAAACAATCCATCAATATTTACAGAGATACAATCAATTTTCATGAGTTAATTGAGGGTCAAATGAGACATGAAAAAATATCGCCAAATCATACTCTATTAAAATATGAACAAGAAAATGGGGTCACCTTGCATCCTAAAGAGCTACAATAATTTTTGTATAGGCATGTTTTTGCCCAGTACTGATGATCATAATTTTATCTACCATGTGATTGCCATGTGTACGCCACATCGAATAGCACTAGCTCACATTTTTTATATTGTTGTCAAGAACTTATTGGCATGCAGCCAGTAGATTTTCATCATGTGTTTGATCTTGAATTGAAAAAAGATCAAACACATCATCATAATCTACAGAGTGCAACCAAAAATTTCTTAACAACAATTGAAATTTCTTTCAGGAAGCCTAACACTAAAAGCTGTTGTTGATTCAGAGAGCATCATAGAGACGATGAACAAATAAGAATAATAATACATTCACTTCTATTTTCCCCGCCAAATAATCCGAACAAAAGATCCAACCGAGGGTAATCAACTTTAAAACGAATTTATCATGAGTTCTTGGAAAATTAATTAATACTGCTTGTCAAATATTATTGAAGAACAGCCAAGGGGAACGCGATTGCCGCTACACTTCAGAAATCATTGCTTGCATTGCTTTTCTCTCAAAATTACCGTGAGATATCAAGCTACATAGAACTATGATCGACAAAAAAGATATTGTCTTGAAAACAGTCAGGAACATTAGAACTTGAATGAATAAAACATAATGCAAATGAATAAGACTAGAATGAATAGGACACAAGTTCATTTTTACCATTTAAATCATCCAGTACCAAATACCTAAGCAAAATTCGAACCAGATGCATTTAATGGTAAGCTTAAAGACAATGATTCACGACAATTGTCAATTGTCATGAGTTTATCGTCTAGACGTATTGCAAAAGATAATCAGAATAATAATGATCAGAATGATACCTCTACTATTAGGCCTACTTCTACATGTACTATACTACATGCACTACTGCCATTGTAGATTATGCTGATAAAACAGATGATAATAATGATATGATAACAATTATAATAATACTATATACTAATTATACAAATCGTCATCAAAATCATCATGTTCATATTCATCATAATGATAACAATAATAATGATTATAATAATTACAATAATAATTTATATTAACGATAATAATCATGATAAGGATAATAATCACAATAACAAACCTAATAATTACGAAAATAACAATGGTAACACCACCAACCATAATAATAATTGTTGTCATTATTATTGTGATACTGCTTCTAGTACTACTCCTTCTACATGTACTAGGAAGAAGGAGGGGAAGAGGAAGAATCTTATTGTTTATTTTCTGTATTATCGAGGCATACAAATGCACAGGGAGGAAAGAGAGGGAAAAGTAAGGCGACGAAGTGGGAGAGAGAGGGAGAGAGAACGAGAGGGGGTAGCCTATTGCTCGGGTTCAAATTCAGTTTTCTTTAATTTATTTGACCCAGTACTGCATGATGATCATAATATTATCTACCATGTGATTGCCATGTGTACGCCACATCGAATAGCACTAGCTCACATTTATATTGTTGTCAAGAACTTATTGGCATGCAGCCAGTAGATTTTCATCATGTGTTTGATCTTGAATTGAAAAAAGATCAAACACATCATCATAATCTACAGAGTGCAACCAATAATTTCTTAACAACAATTGAAATTTCTTTCAGGAAGCCTAACACTAAAAGCTGTTTTTGATTCAGAGAGCATCATAGAGACGATGAACAAATAATAATAATAATACATTCACTTCTATTTTCCCCGCCAAATAATCCGAACAAAAGATCCAACCGAGGGTAATCAACTTTAAAACGAATTTATCATGAGTTCTTGAAAAATTAATTAATACTGCTTGTCAAATATTATTGAAGAACAGCCAAGGGGAACGCGATTGCCGCTACACTTCAGAAATCATTGCTTGCATTGCTTTTCTCTCAAAATTACCGTGAGATATCAAGCTACATAGAACTATGATCGACAAAAAAGATATTGTTTTGAAAACAGTCAGGAACATTAGAACTTGAATGAATAAAACATAATGCAAATGGATAAGACTAGAATGAATAGGACACAAGTTCATTTTTACCATTTAAATCATCCAGTACCAAATACCTAAGCAAAATTCGAACCAGATGCATTTAATGGTAAGCTTAAAGACAATGATTCACGACAATT